ACATTTGGCGATAAAAAAGGGTACTACGCAGTGAAATTCCTCAAATAAGTAGTGAAGTATAATGTTTACTTTGATACTAATGATCTTTGAATGTTGTAGCGATTCGTTGTATAATTTGTAAAATAATTAAACTGTATGGAATTGTTAAAGTTTGTCATATTATTAATGCGATGTATACATCATTACATTAAGTTTGTCACCGCAAAAATTTACAATTGTTAGTCAACTTTTAAAGCTGAAGTTTCACAGTGAAATTAAAGTAAGTAGCAGTTACACTTTTGTAGTATAAGATAAGAAAATACATAATAAAAGTGATAATGGTAATACAATAACCGTGCGTGCACATTTCTTCTCCTCTCCTTGAAGACGCTAGTTTGGCACATAATAAGATATCAATTTAGCAGAACGCCATGCGTTCCTTGCATCCAGCCTCCGAAGCCCGCATCAATCTTAAAGACTCACCCTTGCAACAAGCAAGGTGATAAAAAAGTTACCTTTAAAATTCCTACAACTAGTAACTGTAAGTAGTTTAATTATAACTATTAGTTTTCCTCTCAGCGTTACCTGATTACAACTAATTAATCTTAAGTTTTATTAGTCTAGCGAAAACATACTGTAATTATTAAATTTTGCGATTAATGTAAAATTGTGTTACACTTCGTCTAATCAAACAACAAAAAACGGCCTTGCGTTGGCTTAGTTTGTAACAATAATGAGACTACTCACGTACAAAATGTATCGTATTATTAAGCGTTTCACTTATATCTAAGCGTTCATGTTTTGTAAAACTAAAAATGTGTCAATCAGAATGCAACTGGCATTATAAAACAAAAAAGAAAGACATTTTTTTTTAGTACACGTTGCCTGCGCACTCGATCGATAAATGTTCTGTAATTACGTTAAAACTAGTGCCAATGGCAACTTTCACAAAGGTTTATATTCTTCTATAAAAGATTATTTTTTTTGCGTAATTATTACGGTAAAGTCATATTTCAAACAGACTCATTTTTTTTGTTTCTTTAAAATATTTTTATTTTGTCGAACTCGCACACTCCTTCGACCCCTTTTGTCTAAATTACGCCAATAATTATTACATTGTATTTGATCGTACTGCGTAACTTGGGAGGGAGTGTGTGGGGACTTCCGTTCCGTCTGACTGATACCGGACTAGAGTGGGGAAAATTCCCTAACTGCTCGCGTCTCTCTTGCATCAGCAGCCGCGCTGCGTAGTTGCGCCGTTGAAGTCAGTCGCGTTTGGTCTCTCGCTCGATTGACACCGTCAGAGCTATACCTATAGCTCGTGTCCACGAGACACATCTTGTTATACATAACGTCTTCTTCCTTGCCCGGGCCTATATCCTTTCCCGGACACACGTGAACACGGCAGACGTGGGACTGCCAAGCAACCTGCCATAAATATATATATATACATATCAGCCACCGGCTGACCCATATCCCACACTAGACTAACTGTTGCCGCCCTCTACGCAGAAACGTCAAAAGAGAGCGATCGTTGCCCCCCCCCTCCCGCCGTGCAAGCAAAACGACTGTTGTCGTCGCCCGCAAGTTCCGAGAAACGACTGTTGTCGCTTCCCGGCAATGCACAGACTCTCACTCGCGCTCTCTCACTCTTTCCCGCGCGAACTACCACGATTAAGGGAGTTCACTACCAAACACTATTGACAGAGAGATTTTGATGAAATTTTTTGTATGTGCTAATTAATATGCTAGAAGTGCCCTGTTAAATTTTCAAGTCGATTCACAGTCTCGATTGCGAGAAATTAATAATTGTAGTTTCATGAATTTAACACAGTCTCTTATGGGATATCACGTTTAAGCATGAAATTCATATATAATTAACAGAGAGTTTTTGTCCGCGATTTTTTCAGCAATGATAAAACGTTTAATGTACCCAAAACTTTTTCAATAACATCCATTTACTACCTGGGAGCTGGGAAATAAATAAAAATAAATAAAAATGTTACAAAAACAAGTCTTATAAGCCGTTTTCTCTGTCATCTATATATCTATATATCGCATGTGGCAAAGTTTTATAACCTCAAAGTGGCATTTGACTAGCCGAGTCGGTAGTGAACTCCCTTAATAAAAAAAAAAATGGCCGCTCTTGCTGCACTAGAATATGAAACCGCGAGAAAATCCCGCCGGCTGACGCAATCATACACGCACACACGCACACAAACACGCGCACACACACACACACACACACACACACACACACACTTGCCGTTCACCCTCTCGTTGCTGAAACTTAAAAAAGAAAATGCCCTCAGCTACTACACGAAAAAATGTATAAATTATTGTTAAAACGTACTAAAAACACTTAAAATGGCACTGAACATTGAAAAAATACGATTAAACACAAAAGAGAAAAAAAAAAAAAATTCCAAAAGTTGTTTTTTCGAACTTAAAATTAAAAAAAATTACTAATTACTCACATATATTATCGATGTGTGGCCGTAGACCGCCAAATCTTACGCTTTCTAACTATTGCGCGATGAAAAAAAGCGTTCGAAACTTTCGAACGCGTTTGGCGGTTAGAAAATGGTTCTCGGAGGGGCGCGGACACAACCTTTCTCTTTCGCGGCTCGAGCTCGACTGAATTCGGGGTTTCGGGGGCCGAGCGCCACCCCTATATATACTCTTGGCCAGATTCAACATGGCCGCCGCGCGCGCTTTTGGCCTCTGTTCAAAATTATTTAACTTTCAATTTGCATTTTTTCATGTATTTTAGCAAACTACAAGGAGCACTTGAGCTCAAAAGATGCGCACTGATCCAAGGAAGCCGATATTATGCCTCAAGCCGCCCCAAAATTCCCCAATTTTTCAGAAAAAAAAGATTTTCCATAAAAAAAAATGACTTTCCCATAAGGCCCCATGTATTAGAGAGAGAGAGAGGGCAATAGAAAATTATCACAATGACCTTTTTTGCCAGAAAATCGATATTTTTGCATCGATTTCGCCCAAACAATGTACATAGAAAGTTAGAGGAAGGCCCTTGAAAGCTTTCTATGGCAGTCCCAGACCTAGTGCACGTCCCGTTTTTCCAGGAGATGCTCTCGAAACAGGTCTTTCACCAATCGCTTAATTTCATGAATTTCAGGTCGAGTCAGGTACCCAGAGGTACGTCATCGTCGAGAACGAGGCTGCAGCTCCATTTTAAGCCCACCCAAAGCCCTGGGGATGGTCTATGAAACCGCCAGGGTGAACGTCTTACCCAGCCGCCGTTTTCGCCATACTTCCTATAGAATTCAAATGAGAAAATTTTAAAATGCATTATTTTCGTAATTATCGAACGAAATGACCCGAGCCAGGATGGGCTATCAACTATTTCGGACCCGGGAAACACGATTCTCTAGGTTTCGAACCTGGGGGAAGTCACCCTGAGCCGCCCTGGGACGCTCCGGCTCCACCCCCGCATTTTCGAATATTCATGATTTTCAGCCATTTTGAGCCTCGAATCACACCTACGTCATCTTCAGGGGCTCCGTCCTCTGCATTTTAATATGTTTCCGAGCTCAAATGGCTCAAGATAAGCCATCCTGGCCATCCGGGCTTATACACGTAGCTATACCTATATATACGGGAATGCTGAAATTCATAAAAAATGACGTCATACTGCTCCAATTTAGCTCGAATGATCCGAATAATGTTGCTGCACACGTTATTTTCATGCTTTCAGCGCTTTTAGGAGCTGGGGGAACATAAAAATCATCATCGAGGCGATCGTCGATCGACCTCCATAACCACGGTTTTTGCGCATATAAAAATGATAATGATCGCCCTGGCTTTGTAAACAGGTTGCAAAATCCAGGAATTCGCTCGATAAGCGGAATAATGATTCGCATTTTGGAGTTTCGGAGCATCTCTTGGGCCAGGGGTACCGGGGGGGCTCTAGTGTTCCGAGCGCTCGGAGCGCTCGGAGTGCTCCGAACTCTAGCCCGAACACGCGTTCTTGCTCCGAGCGCTCCAAGTGCACGTGACTCAGGCCGCCTGTGGATAGCCGTGTAAGATCCAGCTAACCTATATTATTTTTAATAGTAATCAATGATTCATAAAAACGATTTTTTTTTATTTCATACGAATTAGAAAGTGGTTGTCGACAGCTCTAGTATATTTACGAGGTGAAAAAGCTGATATGTGTTTTTAAAAAAGTTTCTCAAAAAAGTTTTTGTTTTAAAGTTTTACCAAGTTTTTTCTAAAATGGAAAAACAAACGGTAAGTGTTTTTTTTTATGCTTCAATTAATGAGATTAGCTAAGCATTTACGGATTTGCAATAGACTTTGATAAAATTGCGTTGTGGCGAATGTGGATATGATATTGAGGATGATCGAATTTTGAAACATCATTGTCTCTCTCAATATTGGGAAGTTGAACTGATGGGCTTTTACGTATACCCCCTCCTGCTAGAGGTAGGTACATATCAGTACTCTTTATAGAATAAAATTTTCTAGAATGAAATGCTGATCTACCAATATTTTAGGATGTAAAAAAAATAATGCTTCTTATATATCTACTGATTCCGAGACTTGGATCAGAGTTGAAGACTGAATGAACTTATGAATTTTATATTTTGTAACATTAATATAATACTAACATTTTCCGGTGTCATGATAAACAATAAAAAGACCTTCTAACTATGCAATCAAAACAAAAAAACGGTCTGTTTACTCGCGATTACGTTGAGCTGGATCTTACATGGCTATCCACAGGCGGCCTGAGTCACGTGCACTTGGAGCGCTCGGAACCTCTTAATCGAACAAATCTATTGTCAGTACCTCCTGTGGAACGAGTTCTTTGATTCGGGTTGGCTTGGAACAAGAGCACTTGTTCGGCTTTTAAATCCGGAGTGCTTCGAGCGTGAGTCGTTAATCTAAACAAACCTTATGTAGCTTCAGATAGTCCACAGAAAATCGGATCTCGGGTTCAGGCCGTTCAGGGCCTGAAGTTCAGGCGGTTTAGTGTGTGCTCGCGATTATATCGGCTCGCGAAGTTCATGTATCGGTTGCAGTGACATGACATGGTGCATTAAATATACCTAAAGGTATAAATATATTTATCATCAACGTCGTACATGTACTTTAGCACTTAAGTAGGCGGTAATACGAAATACTTGTACACTTATTACTGTCGTAATCGTTGCCGAGAGTTCCTTCAGTTCTAATGCACGTCTCGCGAATGCTCAGTGTTCGAGTATACTTGAAATTACTGTATACCAAGTAATATAATCTACCTCATCTCGTATCAAATATTTTGTAAACACCGTACACATCTGCAAATGAGAGTAGATAATATACGCGTACACGCCCAATCCCCTACTTCAGCTTACAAGTATCTCCTTATAATTAATCTCCTAACAAATCCTTATTTATGTATCGCACACTGTGTCCGTCTGGTATGTATACGTATATTTGAGCATAACATACCTACCTATACATAGAGATTTTTTCTCCTGCAGTCCTGACTGACTTGCTGATACTGAGTACTGAGCTGAGTAATCGTTGAGTTGTCTGTCTCTTTCTTTCCCTCTGTTCTCTGTGTTTGTGTGTATCCTTATCTTCTGCGGGTGGCACGCAGAGCCCCGAATGTCGAGTGTCTAGATCGTTGCCAAGAGAACTGGACATCTTTTTTTTTTTTTTTATTCAACTGCAGCATTTATCGATACCGCAAGTTGTCATTGTTGTCGTTGGGAGGAAGGACATCGTCATCGTCACCGAGCACACATCAGCAACCATGAGGAAACAACTACACCGGGTCATACAGCTAGCTGATCAGAAATTCAGCAAGTACGTACTAGTAAAAAACTTTTTTCCCTGATGCCGACCCTACAATCTTAATTAAAACGTAATTAAACAAATTATACTCGGAGATACTTTCATAGATACTCTGATTTTTAATTTATTTTATATTTTTCTGTGAAATTGTTTACCTACAATTAATTGATTATTTCCACGTTTGGTAAACGTTTGTCTCAACTAGCTTCAACTCTTGCAAACGTCGTCTACATTACGAGCTAATCGTATGTTTTGTTAGCGCTATCAATTTTTTTTTTTTTTTTGTTTTTGTTTTTATCGCCGATCTTTCCATGCACACCGAAGTACTTATACAAGCGCTCGATTCTTTTGTTCCCGAGAATTCTCGCTTTCGTCCACGTAAATATTTTTAGCAGCTAGAGTTCTTGAATACCAACGATTAGTGTTATGGTAATTTCGTTATTGAACTAGTTAGCAATGCAAGTGATAATTCGTTGCATGCTAATGGCCAATTGATAATTATTATTTATAGCTTTTCTTATGATTATTCTTGATGAATTTAAATATTTTACAACACTGTTCTCTTGCAGAGCTGAGAAAACCGAGCATCTGACGGATGACATGCAAGTTGCTGACAAACGAGCAGAACAGATCAAATCTGCACTTACTGGACTACTCAGTAAAGAAAAGCCAAGTTTGGGTAACAACAAGAACAGTGAATCCAATTCGCAAGATATAGAGAAACGAATCGTAAGTTAGCTCTGTGTTTTGGCTAAAACAAAATAATATTATCTGTTTTGGCATCCCTCCTTTCATATCAATATACATAGATACAGGCATTTGTTTGTAATTAAGAAGGCTATGAATCATCCAAAGCGTTATGTCATTATTATTATTACTTGTGTTCATTGTATACTTGGTGCAGTATGAGTTGGCATTTTAAGCAAAAAGTATATACTGTTTGAAATTTTTTTCAAAGTTGCATTGAACTTTAAATTTAAAAAATAGTATTGTAGAAATACTGTGTATGAATAACCACCTCTTTTTATTTTTATTGCTAGACCAAATGTCCAGAGTACGTTTTGGGCCAGACTATGCTAAAAAATTCTGGAGGAGAAGGACCAATGAGTTACACTCTGAAATCGTGTGGAAAAGCACAAATGGCCTTGGCCACTGAAATCGTTGAGCATAAAAGTAAAGTGGATCAGTACGTTATTACTCCACTGCAACAAATTTTAGACACAGATATTCCAAGTATATCCAAGCACAAAAAATCTTTGAACAATTCCATTTTAGATATGGACATCTTGAAAGGACGGTACCAAAAACTTAATATTGGAGGTATATGATAACTATTGTTTATTCACTTATTTACTAATCGGTAGTGTTGAAAATTTTTTTAATATTCTAAATTTACTTACAATCTTAGCTTCTACAGCAACAAAAGTAGATAGTCTTAAAGATGAACTTGAAGACGCTGAAGCCAAAGTAGAGTCGATGAGAGATCTTTTAGCCTCAGATTTATTTCAGTTGATGTCAAAGGAAACCCAACTTGCCCAAACAATCCTTTTGTACATTAAATTGCAAAGAGCACATTTCGAAAGTGCCTTGCATTGTCTTGAAGATGTTATTCCAGATCTTGAATGTTTTATAAGTAGATAAACTATACTATTTCACGATGTAAACTGATTGGATGAATCTAAGTAAACTCAAACAATCTCTTATTTATTGACAGATAATAATGAAATGAAGCCAGTATACAATTTCTCCTTGGAAGAGCATCTTCGAGTTACAAACAGGAGAATAGCGTTGCCCATACAATTGTGCGTATGTGCTCTTTTGAGGGTAGGAATGGAGGAAGAGGGACTTTTTAGGGTAGCCGGTAGTGCAACAAAATTGAAAAGATTGAAGCTTAGTCTAGATGCGTGCTGTTTGACTCTTCGAACAGCCCTTGAATACAGGGATCCACATGTGATAGCTGGTGCACTCAAGTCTTATCTTCGAGAGCTGCCTGATCCACTGCTTACCTCTGCGTGAGTAAAAATGTCATTGGTTTTTATTTTCTTTTGAAATAAATGCATCCATAAATAAATCGCAACTGCCTCGGTATTTATTACAAGTCAGTTTGCTCATCTGGCTCTAAATTTTTCCTTGGTATCACTTAACGCCACCGAAAAAGTTGTAGAATCCTAAATAGGTACATATCCTAAATTGAAAATGGTACAAGTTCTGAACTCGTCGAGTAAAGCACGCATATTCAGCTGACAGGCGCGTTATCGAGTCGGGAAAATCTGGAATTTGGATGTCTAAAAGGGGGCCCAGCCCAGACCCCTTCGTCCCTAAATAGCCCAACACACCGCGATGCATCTCTACAACTGACTCGCGTTCGCGTGAATGAGTCAATGACCTAGAAATAGAGAGAACGTCTCGCGTAAGTGTACAAGTGTCGCACGCATTACCATTGTCGCCGCCGTCTCGTGCATTATACATACGTACTTGTGCGAAATTTGCGAATGACTCACGCCAAAGTAACGCAGAGAAAATCTCTCGTCGATGCGAAGGCAAACATTTAAAGAAATTATTTTTAAAAAAAAGAATGAAAAAAAGGGCTAGTGATTATTGAGTTTGCACGAAGAAGGGAGCGAGATGTGAAAGCAAAGCCTTTATTGGTCTGCATGACACAATTGAGAGATTCGCAAAGCGTATGGCGCGCGAGGGACGGATCCGAGTTCTCGAGACGACGGCTATGGCTACATATACTTATATATATGCTCTTCGAGGCTGACCGTCGACACTCGGCCCCTATGATTGATATGACCTCGACGCGACTCGCGCGCGATGATTTAATGCAGAATGTGTAAGTGTGTACGCGTATACACACAACGGAAAGGCCAAGAGAGCCTAGCGAGTGACGTGAACATCATATGCCTACCTGTTATTTGTTTTTGTTTTTCTCTAAATCTGTACTGATATGTTTTTTTTACTTCCTACTGAAGTTCTTAACGCAGCCGAACTCAATTGCTCACTTTTTTTTTTCATCTTTTGTTTTGTACTCTGTAACGGGATTTCGGCGTGTTTTTTTCGTCTACACGTTGCTATGTTTATGTCTATGAAAGGAGAGTAGTGAGATATTCACTTAGACTTTTTCGGTACATTCATCTTGAAGTATTGAATCTCACTTTCTTGAATCCTAGAAATTTTTCTTGGAAAAAATCTGTAAATTAGTCTACATCGTACATTTACTCTGATATCGTTACTAACAATAAAAATTTTCACGTTTCACGTAATCTATTTTATCTTTAATAAATAATTGCCAAACAGTGGAAAAAATTTTTTTAATTAATGTTTGAACCAGTTTACGTTTTAACTTGATGACTAACAAATCAAACAGCGGTAGATGTCGTAATGAATCATTTTTAAAATTTCCTATCGAAATATTTTTTCTTGTGTCGCAATAAAATGAATAACTAATGTATGTGAAACTTGAAGAAAAAAAAATTTTTTTTACAGACTGTACAGCGAGTGGGTGGCAGCCGCGAAACAAACCCTAACCGAAACAAGACTACAAACTCTGCACACGATAATACACAAGTTGCCCCAGGCAAATTTTGAAAACTTAAGGTTCCTAATAAAGTTCTTTGCCAAAATCACCAAGTCTCAGGATATCAACAAAATGTCACCCCACAACCTTGCGATAGTGATTGCTCCAAACTTACTTTGGAATCCATCTGAGGACAAAACTTCGATAGCGTGAGTTTTACCCTCAACACGAGCAAAATAAGTTTTTCATTCGAAAACGATTTCTCAAGCGACTTTGACGTCTTGCTTTTTCAGTATGGACACAGCTAACTATTCTAGTCTAATCGTGGAGGACATGATAACGTACGCCGAGTACTTCTTTCCCGGGGAGGTAGACTTTGACCGCGACCTCGAGTCGATGATCATGGAACTCGACGAAGTCACGACCAACAGCAGTTCGATGGGCCTGCGCCGCTGCAAGTCCAACAACAGCCTCAACGATTTGGGCGACAGCCCGACCCAGGGCAGCCCGAAGCCGGCGACGCGTCGGAAAAAGCCTGCACCCATACCGCCCACTCCGGACAAGCAGCCGCCCCAACAGCCGCAGCATCAGCAGATCCCGCATCACGAGTACAAAAGACCGGACGAGAAGCCACCACCTCGGCCACTTGTCACGGCGACCCTCAATCGGGCCACCTACAAGTCACAAAAGCACGACCAAGTCACGGCTGAACTGTTACAGCCGCAGGTGGCCGACAAGCAGGATCAGACGCCGTCGCGTGTACAGCCAGAGTCCCAAGCGCAACCTCAAGTGCCGTCGCACACGCGAAATTCGACGCAAGATCCCGTGAGCAATAATACCGTTAGAGCAAGTCAAATAGACAAGCATTTTGCATTAGAAAGTAACAAGTGCTCGGAGGATGACGTGAAGCCTGTTGGTTTCGACGCCAGCAGAAACGAATCGGTCAAGGTAAAACGCTACTTTTGTTTCTCTGATGTTTTTTCCAATTCAATTGATGAGTCAAACTTCGGATTCGATTCGTGATGAGCCACTTTTTAAATTTCAAGTAATTTGTTTGAAGAATAAGGGTATTGTTCAAAAAATCTATAAAAGTGGAATCATTTTCAATAATTTCTACGATTAATTTCTTGGCCGCTTACGTCAACACTTGATAATGCACTCAACCGACAATTAAATACGTGAAATCATCGACAATTTTATTTTAATTTATACTTGTTTGAAAACCTTAAATCCGTATCTTTTATTCTGATCACTCATAATTGATAGAAATGTTTTTTATCCTAATAGACTCCTATTGAATTTCTATAACAAACTTGTAATTTTATAAATTTTTTTTTTTTATCAGGATGTTGCAATCGTCTCCGATGCATCTCCGCAAAATCAAGCCGACAACACTTCGTCAGCCAATCAAGACGACCATGAAAAAAAAAATAGCGACGAAGAAAGAGTCAACACCGGCCTGATAGGCTTCGAAATGTTTGGCCTAAAGGCTGTAGAATCAAATATTGATGATGTAAAGCCTCTCAAAGATTCCACGATGACCGAGAGTATGGAAAAGTTGGACTCGCCAAAATTGAAACCGATTCCAGCGGAAAAACCACCGCCAACACCAACGACCCTGGAAAGGCGGAAGCCACCAGTAGCTACGCCTCGATACTTAACAAATGCTAATTCAGCGACATCGAATCAGCCAGGTATGATTTTAAATCGCTGAATAAATTTAAATGAATATTCTCGTATCAAGTCCGTACGACGTTTTAATTAATTCAGCGCATTTTTAAACACACCTACTCGATATTTCAGAAGATTTGGTGGAAATTCGTAAGAAGCCAGATGTGAACAACGTCGCTTCAGTCGACAAGACTAGTAAACCAGCCATACCCGAACGTCCAATTGGATTCCCTCGACCTTCAAGTTTGATACGCGGCTATCCCCGACAGAGCATCGAAAACTTGGATTCTGATTTTGGGGTAGGTAGAAAGAAGTAATAAGTACTTTGCGTATGATTTAATAAATGACGATACCATCAAGCTATTATATGATAAATATGTAAATAACTTTTTACTAAATTAATAGAGCTCATAGCTTAAGTCAATACTGGAGTTGAAACATATTTTTATACTTCCAATTGAATAACATTTTAATATTTTTGTGATACGTTTTACAAATATTTTATATTCACTCTGTAAGGCCCATTGCACCAAATTTCAAGGCTTTGTTTCTGATGCTTCAAAAAACATAGAATAGTAGTAGATCATAGTTTAGGTATAAGATAACCGATTATGATTTAAAAGTAGTCGTATATGAGTTGGTGAGATTAATCACAGCCTTAATACTTCTGTTATTCTTCGAAATGTACACAAGTTTGAAAAAATTTCGAGTAAAAATACTTTTGCTTAGTGTTAAATTTGCGTTACACATACTTCGTTTTTTATGTTTATAGTTTAATGTAAAAATTAAATGTTATATTTTGATCTACAATAAAAACGTTACACATTATACATTGTATAGTTAATGACACTAACGATTGTGATTTTCTAAAGGTAGTACGAAAAATTCATCTACTTTGCATTTTTGATTCATTTAAATTTTTGACTACACGTACAAATTCCTCTTCACCCAACACTACTTGTTATTTTTTTATGAGTGAACAAATTTTTCAAGATTGATACCTTCCTATGTTTTTAGTTTCCTATTTCAAACAGTAAAGTATATTCTTTTGTTGAGTGCATTGATCACACATTCCACCTCTCTGACAGCATGATTTTCAGTTTATTCTTACAAACAAGTCCTTTTGCTCAGCATCAGTTTCTTTTTTTTTTTTTTTTTTTCTTTCAATTCACACTAAGCGTCATTATAAATAATGTCAGCCTAAAATTTCATTCTCTTTAGCCGATTACAACGGACCGAACCCAAATGTCCTCAATAGACAAAGCACAGGTCAGTATACAAGTTGTCGGTGCTAACAAGACGAATGGGACAATCTCATCGGCCAACTTGCAGAGAAGTCCGAGCGTGGGCAGCCGGCCAACGTCGATGTCAGTCTCCGCAACGTCCACCGCCCACCACCAACAGCAGTCCAATGCAGTCGATCGTCCAAACAAACCACCCCGGCCTGACGCACTGCCTACCGAGCACGTCCGGGCCCACTCTCGCACGCGATCCGAAGGCAACATCATCGACGTCCAGACCCAGACTCAGACGATCATCGTGCCCAGATCTGCGGGATACGCCCAGCAGCAGTCCACGTCGCCGAGGTCTTACCAACGGTTGTCGAGGCCACAGCCACCACCGCCTCCACCACCCACGACAACTCGACCAAAGAGCGACAACGAGAGCACGAATCTGTAGTCTTTTCTTTGCGAGCTCGGACGCTCGAGCGCTACTGGAACTCAATCGTGGACAGGGTTCATGTTGATTGTTGAGAAAGTGTTGCTTGCGACTGTACAAATGCTGATGGCTGGTACCAAACTGAGTGGATTAAATCCATTACTTACGTATTAGGTTTTTTTTTTTTTTCTCTTGATAAGTTGACCTTTTGAGTTGAGGACAATTAGATCCATACGGAGTTTTCAGTTAATTTTTTTTAAGATTACGTTTTCAAATTATACTATCGTGTTGATTCTATACATTATTAAAACTTTATACTTCATGAAGAGAAAATGTGTTATTTAAAATATGAAATGAAAAAAATTATTTGAAAATATTTACAAATTTTCAAAGTTTAAAGTAGTATACTTTTGTTCATGGTTGACAATTTCTCTATCTAAATTATGAAATGAAAAAAACTGTGGTACATACATAGTGCGATAGAATGTTGAACTGCACAGTTATGTTATGTGCAAATAACTACATTTTTTATTTTTATATAACTTCGTGCTTCTTGTATCGTGACATTTTGTTTATTATTTTTTTTTTTTTTTTTATAAAGTAAAAAAAGCTTGAACAAAATATAATTGAAGACAGCTTTGCTTAAATCAGAGATAACACTATTTTGAATTATTTTTTAAGAAACAACTTTAAAATAAATGCTTGGAATTGATTATGTAAAGGAAAATTTTATAATTTTATTTATCATATACATGTGTCAATAATTTGTCCTTACCAAGTTATTTGAAATTCATAACTTTAAAAGTAGTTGTGCTATGAATTTCATTAAATCAATCTGCAAATTTGAGATGATATTATGATTGAAAAAGTGATGTCCATATTGTATTCTAGAATGAAAAATCCAACTTGAGTGTCTTAAAAGAAATGATAAAAAAAAGGAGCTTAGGAAACGGAAAGTCAATCAAAGTATTGCCAATAAGACTTTGAGTAAAATTAAGCTAATGTTGAAGTGGCCTAAGTGATAATAAACCCTGAAGCCGGCTTACGATGAAACACGAAAATAACTTTAAGTTGTAAGGAGTAAAGTTAATATGAAAACAAACGTAATGCCGGGAATTCGTTAGAATATATCAAATTAAATGTATAACTATCGTGTAATTCCAAATGATTTTTAAAACTATACAATTCAGAAACAGATATTTTTGCAGCGTAGTTTTTTTTATAATTGTTCTGATCGAGACAAGTCATAGTATATATTGTGATCACGATGTCTTAAAAATTTCACTCTATGTAGGAATAACAATGATTTTTCAAGGAGAAGAGTGAAAAATGTCAATTCCGCCCTACGTAGCCATTGCGAACTCTTTCAATTCCCAAATACATGGTGACATTGACACTACAGATACACACCCACGCACAACTTAAGAAAACTACTCGCATTCAATTATTAGCTAGAACACGTGTTTTAAAATGCCGACAATCACGGTGTTATGACGCGTAATGTCACTGCAATTATTATAGGTACGGCGTTCACTGTCCAATTGCGAATGTTCCCGACGTGGTTCTATAAGAAAGTTAAGTGTCTACCCGACTTTTGTTTCATTAAATAATTAATATTACTGTTATTATCAACAATAATTTGCATTTCGCGTTAAGCGTTGAAAGTGTGATTTTAAGTCAGTTTGATTTTTATAATACATGCGTGTATATATTAATAAGTTTTTATTACAAATATGTGTATACGTTATCATTGAAATATATGACATTTTTTTAACAATTATTGGCGATTTTCGCTCCAACGGTATAATGCCTTATTATAAAATTCATTAAGCTTTGAACTGCTGTGCACTTATTAAAGTGTAGTTGTATGACTTGTTACCCTATTACTGATTCTCTTACTGTCCGCACATTTGAAACTGAAAAAGTTGATTTTTTCGCATTTTTCAAAAAACTGCAATGAATAAAAAAAAAAGAAGAAATAAAAATCCTAAGTAATAAGCAATCAGTGATGTATTGGTTTTGTTAGCTATGCATAGTTTATTACGACTCAAAAGTTATTCCTTAAAGAAAAATTACTTTTCAACCTTATTATACGATTTAAATCGTTTGTTTGGCACGCATTTACCTAAGGAAAACTTAGGCTGTGAATACGTTGGAGTATTAGAACATGTATTTGTAAATAAAAGTTCTTTTAAAAAACTTGTCATCTTTTAAATTTACAGTTTCTATAAAAATAATCCCGATGCCTTAGAATACGGAAAAACATGAGGCACAAGTACTTTTTGCCAACAAAGACATTTTTTATTATCAACATGTCTCTTACAGACTTACGCATACATATGTATAAGAAAAAAATTGGTAGTTAAAAAAATGTTAGAACATGGACGTGACAGCTTCGTCGGCGACATCTTTAGGCGTCAAACCATCGTTATCCTGGATCATCCGAGCGTTCTTAGACAACAGGTATTTAATAATGTCCTTGTGACCGCAACTGGCGGCGTAATGCAAAGGAGTCTGACCATCTGCATCCTGCGCATTTATATCTGATCCAACTTCAACAAGAAACTTCAAAATATTAAAATCTCCTCTGTCAGCTGCCCAATGAATCGGCAGCATGTTATCTTCGTCCCTCACCTCGATGCATTTCTTATCACGAGATAAAAACAGTTGTACTTTGTTAAGATTGCTTTCCTTTATCCAGTCGAGAAGTGTCTTATCAACATCATGTAATTCGGTGTCTGTGTTTGGTAACGTGCTCACGACCACCCAGGTCTTGGAACTATCGCGAGCATCCTTCTCCCAGTCCGGGTCCAGTTCGCTTACTAAGCCGATGTAATTGGACATAGCCACCTCCCTCTTCATATCTCCCAAGCTCTTCCACGCCTCCCATTTGGATTTTGCAGTCAACTGGTACCAACTTGGGGCTGGTGTATCACAGGGACCACAAGTGGCTTGCTTGTACAGGCCGTAAAAACCAAGCAACTGAGTGTTGCTCAGTTTTGATACTAACAACTGCACGTAGGATGCGGCTTTGTTGAAAGTCTCCTCTAGATCCGAAAGTTCCGCGTTTCGTAAGCCTTCAGCCATGTTTCGATAAATTAATCTTTATGCTAGCTTTACTACAATGTCTAAAAAAAAATCTCAATAACGTTTTTCTGATACTTCAATTTTCTTGCCATCAATTACGTGATCACTGTACTCATTGAGAGACTGAAAGTTCTCTCCTTTCTTCAAGTGAACAAAGCCAATGCCTTTGCTCAATCCAGTATCTTTGTCAAACACGACCATAGACCTCGTGACGTAACCAAACTTAGAGAAGTAGCTCCTGAGTTCCCGACTCCCAACTGTCCATGGAAGGAGCTTAACAACAAGTTTGGTGGACATGTTAGGTTTCAAGCTTTCTTTATCTCCAGCAAGTGGATAGTGTGATCTTGCATCAACTCTTGAACGTCGAGGCCAGACTCTGCACCAAGATTGTCAAGAGGTATGTGCTGACACGTCAATCCCCACTTGTTCAACAAATGTTCAATCGACCAGTCTGCGCTGCGCTCTTGATAAGTACAGAGGAACTTAGCTGCTGAATTTCTCTCAAGCAGAAAGGCAACAGTCACAACGATGTCCTCAAAAACAGAGGGATCATAGAAACAGTCTGAACCCAAGATGAGGTCCAAAGGTCCGAGTTTGAATAAACTGGACAAGAAGAGTCCCCAGGTGATTCCAACAACCTTCACTTGGGCAAGAACCCCGTTGAGTTCGCAACTCCTTCTCAAGTGCTGCAAGCTCTTGGGTAGAGTTGCAGAGTCACTGAGGGTAACCAAAGCGCCGCACTTACTTGCCACTATCCCAGGCAAAGCTGTACCTATAAATATTTGTATTGCATGGTTAAAGTGATATTGGATAAGTAAACGAATGAGAAAAAACATAATGAATAAAAAAAAAATGCAATCAGGTGTAAAATTGCCCTCTGTAACCTACCTGAACCAAGTTCAAGAACTCTTTTGCCTGGCAGTTCCTTCCTGTGCTCCCACAAGTACCAGGCCAAAACCGGGGCCGATGGCCAAGTGTAAAAACTGTAATGCGCCTGCAGAAGCTAAAACGAAAAAACAAAGACCCTTAAAATGACAAGATATATTGGCAAATCGAGGTTAACGTACAAGCAACCGAATCAATCATACAAATGGTAAGAAAAAATATATTAAGTAATAACTGAAAGTAGCAGACACGCACGAACACGTGTGCTTCGCGGTGATATTGTAAACTCCGAAAACTTGGCTCGTCTAACCAAAAAAACTAAAAAAAACTTTTACTGTGTATATGTATATATGTATGTATTCGAACAGCGTGCTCATCGCGCAGCGCCAGCCTGCACCATCACGCAATGATGATTAGAGCAGAAAGTGAGCGAGTAACACCAGTAGCAGACGAACAACCGAATGGTTATGAACGTATATTATAATTTTGGTTCTCTGCATGCGTGCATGATGAGTTTAGGCTGTAAATACCTATAAATGTATATACCTCAGGAATGTAGATCTCTAGCGAGTCCTCGTCGTCGTCGTGATTGCCGAGGTCGTCCTCGTCCTCGCTGCTGTTGTTCCTGCGCCTGCTGATACTGCTGGTGCTACTGCTGGTGCTGCTGCTACTGCTGCTGGTGGCACAGGTCGCCGGATTCACGGTGGAGGAGGTGGTGGACGGCTTGGCCGAGGAGGTGAAAAAAAACTTTTTCACTTGCTCGGAGGCAACACCATCGGACATGAGGCCTAGAACGGATGCTAAGCCGAAGCCGTAATAATTGTTGTGCACCTCCTCGTCTCCGTCGCCGTTGTTATTGTTGTTGCTGTAGTTGTACTCCAATCCCGGCATATCATGGTCTGGTCATCACTCGCGTCGTGCACTCAACCTGGACCTCAACTCTACAGATTTTGGTTCTTCCTTTTTACCGAGTTTTCGCTTGTTTTTTTTTTTTTTTTTTTTTTTTTTTTTCATATTTATCCGATTTGATTATAAAAGGTGGATGCTGTGAAGAAGTTTCAGAAGACATTTTTCATTCTTTTACCAATGAGGGATAAGGAGATTTTGAGTTGGAATTTTTTTTCTCGTCAAAATCACGTTCTAAAAGTTCTGATTAATTTATACACTATACCACTAGCGCACTCTTAGATTTTTGTGGGCAATATTAATTAGATTATATACAAAATAAATACACACACTTTATACTAGCGCTTTCTATGCTGTATTTTAGATCAGGGAGATATTTTTTGGAAGTCAGATTAACTTGTCGGAATGTCGGAATACTTAACTTTGTTGTGCGGCGTTGTCACGTTGACGTTACAACAGAGAGAGCGAAATTCAATTGGCGGTAAATTCAAATGTAAGAACTAACTGCCATTGCTTTCTCACGAAAAAGCTAGTGTACTTATGAAGCATTACGGATTAAATTTTCCAAATTTTTTAACACTTTTTCATGCTTATTTCGTGCTAATGGCTGAAACTCTACAGTTATACTCTATTGCGACGCTTAGATGCGTGCTTTTCAGTCTCATACAAGCATGAAGTATCAGAAAAACTTTACGTTTATCGATTATTCGTGTAAAATAAGAATATAATTATTATATGCGTACAACTAGTTTTATTCTGGCGTGTGGTTTTACAAAAAATTTTTAAGTTTAATGAGAAGCTTAAAAGTATGCATGAAAATTATTTTAAAAAATATGAACAGGAAACGAGAAAATTAATTTTTGTAAAATAACACATGTTGCGTACAAGTATACATATATCTGCGAGTTTCATAAATCAAAGAGTATTAATAAAACTAACGGTCGCAACGATTCTTATGATTTCGTTAGGATCAGGATTTAAATGGAGCTGAAACTAGCCTCACGCCGAGGTAGCCTCACCAGGGACGAATCAGGCCTAGGAGGGCCCTGGGGTTTAAAATTTTTTTAATGAGCTTGTATCAGCTAGAAAACTACAGATATCGTTGCACTTCTCGCATCGACGACTTCTATGAATTTTTTCAACCCGTGAAAAGCTGCCAGGCCTTAAAAATTAAGAGTTTTCCGCGGATACGCGTATCAGCGCATAGAAAAAATATCCGGAGAAAAATCATAACTTTTTTTCGGGCTCTTGTGCCACCAAAAAAACCAATAGAATATATCTCTGTTATATCAACTAATCATCTCTATTAGTTTTTTAAGCTGTGAAAGGCCGCCGGGCCTTGAAAATTGAGAGTTTTCCGCGAATACGTGTATTTGCGTATACGGAAAAAATCGAGAAAACATTCATAACTTTTTAATAATACTTTAATTTTCTCATCAAGTTGTCGGAAAAGAATGTCACTTGATACGTTTTTTGTTACATTCATATTACAGCTTGAATTAGTTTTTTTTTTTTTTCTTATTTTATTGGTAAGTTTAAAAAATTGCACTCTCGACCTTTATGAGTTCTTCACTGCGTATGTCTGAAGATGCTTGAAAAATTTATAAAAAAATAATTTTAACTCAAAGTACATTAAAATAATAAGTTCAGACGTAGTGAAAAATGTGTTTTAGTTGATTAAAATATTCTGATGAAATAAAAAATAGTTATTATCATAAAAACAATGTAATTGCAATATAATTATACTCCCTTAAATTTTTAATATAAAATTTCAAAATATATAATCATCATCGTTTTCAAGTAAACAACTGCGCAACACGAGTGTTAAAGTTAAAAATGATGGCATACAGAGCACAAAAAAGTTACGAAATATGATTTGATTTAATATCTAACGTAGGGGAACAAATGAATTAGTGGTAGCTCAATCAACACAAAGGTAAATAATTTTTTTAAATGTTACAATAAATACGTTTTTTTGTGGTCAGTCGTTCCGATTCTTTTAGCATGTAGTGACATGTACAATTGACTCCTAGCGCCCCTAGCGTATTTTATCTGAACTCGATTTGGGTCCAGCCGCCAATGATTTAAATTTAAAAGGAATTGTCTTGGTAAGTAATTTGATGCCAAAAAATATGCACTGCGTACAGCAGACGTGGATTCAATCTGTAAATTCGAGACAATCAGACTCGTTTAAAAGAACTGGTTTTAAAAAAAACCCCTGGAGCTGCAAGCGAAAACTCAAATACTAATTATAATGTTCAAATAGAAGTATACAAAACTATGTTATGTAAATATTTTGTTTACATAAATTTTTTACGTAAAAAAAAAATTATTTGTTCAGTTTTTCTGACAATTTAAACTTCTGAAGTATGTTTTAATCGTTGTTTCAATAAGCATTTGATTGTATAATATCATACTTTGCTAGCTACATGAAGACCGGACTTAGAAAAATTATTTATGCAATTGTAAAGCAGGATTGAGTCTGCGCAAACATTCAGCAGCAATATACATTTGAGTAAATTTAGAAAGTAGTCATTCAAAAACTAGAGAGCCAATGATTTGGAATACGCCATCAGATCAACAATTACAGAAATATTAGAAAGGCTGTAAATTAAAAGAACTGTTAAAAAAGAGAAATGACTTTTTTTAATTTGTAAAACCAACAATACGCAACAGTAACGATCTGATTTTTTTGTTTTGTTATACAACATTGCATCCATCGATATTTTTTGAAGCTGTAACAACAACATAATCATTCGTGATGCAGACAACAGACTTTTCTCCTTGGCACCTTTTTCCACGAGAAATATCTGAAACAGCACACGAAATTATGTCCAAATAGTTGAAACTAGATTTTTCTCCTTTAAATGTGTAGTCCCGCTTCTTAAGAGTCTACTTTAGTATAAAAAATACATTTTTTACCTTATAAATATCTAATTCATTACCAAACTTAAAAATAAAAAATGGTATGTTTAGCGTGGCTATGCATAATATAAGCAATATAAGCATACTCGCGAGTATATATATAAACTCTACATTTAAGCCTGCCCACTTGCCCAGGCCCTGCGGTCTTAGCTTTTGGATCACATTCTCGATCGATGCTTTTGGAGCGTTCCAAAAACTAAAAATCGCAGTCGCGCGCCTAAAGTGCAGATGTGTTATCGGCTGAGTAGATTTTAGGATTTTTAGGTGACTTGTTCGTGCGATGAGTCTGATATTATTATTATGAAGGATCCTTTAGAAACAAAAACATGGTGTCGAATATTAAATTTTTCGTCACTTAAAATTAATAACCAGGACGCGGTGACACCAAATTCATGCGCGAATGATAACTATAATTTAATTAAAATAACCTGTGTATGTACATACATACCTACATATACAATAGATTTGTTCAAGCCCCTTATGGTTCGGTTCGGTTCTCTTAACAAAATATACCTATATATAGGGAACCAAACAGAATTGGTTCTGTAGTATAGGTATATTTTGTTAAGAGAACCGAACCGATCCAAAAGGCTTGAACGAACCTAATATATATGTATCATGTTATTGGGTACGTTTTTTTAGTAGTCGGTCGGTCGATCGAACGGTCCATTTCCTGAAGAAAGTGTACCTATTTTACTATGTATACAGATGTACATTTTAGAGGAATTGGACTGATCGACTACAAAAAACGTACCCTATATCTTTTTTTTTTTTTTTTATATTATAGTGCTTTACGTCCAACTCCTATAAAGGGCGCTACTGAGGGCATTTAGCACTTTAGAGAAGGAAGGGAAGAGAGATAGGAGGCCTCCCATTACTGGGAGGGGGGTAGGGGAAAATTAGGCAATTTTGCTGCGAGGAGGTCGCCTAAAACCCTCCTCGAGGAGCATTGCGTGGTGAAAAAGCACTTGTGAAAATACACAGAGGTACTTGCTCGAAACAGTTGCACTGGCCGGGAATCGAACCACGAGATTTGTTCACCTTACAATCCAGGGACAGTCGGGGACAGTCTGGGCGAGTCGGAGATGAAATTTAACAAGTGCTCTTCTCCGAGGGTCGGCGACATTGGGCCCCAAACTAGATTGGTGCTTTTTTGCCGTCAGGTTGGCTCGAGCAGACTTTAAGAACGAGTATACAATAAACACATAGATGGATCGAGTACATATAAAAATGGTACGATTTTCTCAAACAGCCAAGAGATTGCGCTACTGATCCCAATTCCTTACGCAAGTCCGTAAGTCACGCGCAAGAAGTATCTGACTTCTATGTGGGTGTCTTGTACCGCGTACGCAGATTGCGGATGCAGCAACAGCTGGTGGAAGACCGCGCACGCGGAACTCAATACCTACGTAGATACCTTATACCGCGTACGCGGATTGCGGATGCAGCAACAGCTGGACAGTCCGCGCACGCGGAGCACCCACTTTAGAGCAGCATCGTACCGCGTATACGCAGATTGCGGATGCAGCAACAGCTGGTGGAAGACCGCGCACGCGGAACTCAATACTACGGAAGCGCCTACGCGCCACCTAGCCAGCTAGCCACGTAGCTAGCTAGCCAGCTAGCTAGCTAGCTAGCCTGGTGAAAATTCCATTTCATGGTGAGTATAGGCCGTGACGATTTAATGTGGCTCCAGCGCCTAGTGCCGTATCAAAATGGAAAGAGTAAAAATTAATTATTATTTTCTTTAAAATATGGTATAAAATTATCGTAGAGACTGTTGTAAGCCATATTCTACATTTTATCTGTTACTTTAGTGAGTTAATATAAAAAAAACAAAAAAGTTTTATGGTGCCCTAATTGATGAACTGTTACGGTACGCTCCTAAGTTCAAGAGTAGTTATACCTATATATATGTACTCTGCAGAATGCAGACAGCTGAGAGCTGACTTGCACTCGCAACTGTATACTTAGTCTCCGATTATTTAAAGATTTTGTTCGATAACAAGA